GTGTATATACTTACAATGACAATAAATAAATAAATAAATAAATAAATAAATAAATAAATAAATAAATAAATAAATAAATAAATAAAAGACTGAGTCAGCCTTGAGCCAGCTACCTGGGATTGAACCCCAGGTCGTAAGCACAGTTTTGGCTGCAGTACAGCAGTTTAACCACTGTGCCACAAGGCTCTTCAGAAGCCTCTGTTTGATATTTGAGAAGCTTCTTCCCCTCAACACAGTCTAACCTATTCAGGAAAGTTTTGTTATCCGGTACCAGTTACCTCCATAGAATCCCATTCTCTTTCCAAAATTGTAATGACTCTTGCAAGAGGGGTTACCCCTTCCAGTTTATTAATACAAAATCAGCATCTGTAAATTCAACCCTACTTACCACCCCCTTCTTAACTTGAATATTACATGCTATCTTATCACTAATAGCTGTATCCCAAACTTCCCTATGCCAATCACTTAATTGGAATTATACATATTTTCCAGTTCCTGGCTATAATCAATTTTACTGCTCTTACCAAGTTGGAAGTTAATTCTTTAGTTGTCTGATGACATTACTCCTTTTCAAATATTGAAAAAAGCATGATTTTAGGACATACAGCTAAGTGTAATTACCTTATTTCATTCATTTCCTTATAAACCAATAGCCAAAATTTTGATATGGTCCTGCCACCACATATGAAAATAAGGACCTGCTTTTTAGCACTCTCTCCAGCAAATCTTAGGATAATTCTCAATTGCTTTAACTGAATAGTATAATACTAAGATATTTCATCCATTCCTATAACTTCTTTTATTTGCTCTTTATTCCCCTTTTTTTCTAACTACTCTTTTATTTTAATAATAAGACTTAATAAATTCTCAAACCATTCTTTCAAATGTTCTGGAAATTTCTCCAAACCTGCCACTAGATATAACAGAAGAACTGGTGGAATAAATATTTTTCTATATGTGTTCCAAATTAAAAGCATATTTTCAAAGAAGGGATTTTCAATATTTTACTATCTTTTTATTATCTTGTATAAAATAATATATTTACAGGGTTCCAATCTAATTCTTGTACTTCCACACTCAGACAAATTATTTTGATATAACAGTTAGCATATGTCTTAATTGATTGGCTATGTAGTCTAAACTAGTGGTCCCCAACCTTGGCCCTCCAGATGTTCTTGAACTACAACTCCCAGAAGCCTTCACCACCACCTCTGCTGCCCAGGATTTCTGGGAGTTGAAGTCCAAGAACATCTGGAGGCCCAAGGTTGGGGACCACTGGTCTAAACCACTGGTTCTTAACCTTGGGTTACTCAGGAGTTTTGGACTGCAACTCCCAGAAGCCTTCACCACCAGCTGTGCTGACTGGGGTTTCTGGGAGTTGCAGTTCAAAAGCATCTGAGTAACAAAGATTAAGAACCACTGGTCTAAACCTAAATTAGGAAGCTCTCCAGCATTTTGAGATTTATACCACCTCTTCTTATTAATCCTTGATTTTTTATCTCCATTACAACATTTATTAGTCATGTTTTGCCAGTCCTTTAACTCTTGTTTGCTTATCTTTACCAGTGGTATCATAATTTTTTAAAAAAATCTTATGTAAAATCTCCATTTTACATATAGCAATTCTGCCAAACTGTGACAGTTCAATTTTCCTTAAATCATTAAACTTTTTTTCCTATCCTGTTTTAATATTTTAAAATTATCTTCTGTCAATATTTCTAGTTTACCTGGAACATTTATATTTAAAGCCTTAATAGACTTTTGAATATTAACATCCACTTCTTTCTTAATTTTTTATGTTATTTTTTTTATTATAGCATAACACCAACATCTCTGATTTATGCCAATTTATCTACAGTATAACCCTGATCTCCCCAAATTTGTTTAAATGCAGTTTTACTCTCTCCGTAACCTTTATCAGGTCTTCTGGGAACATTTATATTTAAAGCCTTAATAGACTTTTGAATATTAACATCCACTTCTTTCTTAATTTTTTATGTTATTTTTTTTATTATAGCATAACACCAACATCTCTGATTTATGCCAATTTATCTACAGTATAACCCTGATCTCCCCAAATTTGTTTAAATGTAGTTTTACTTTCTCCGTAACCTTTATCAGGTCTTCTATTGTTAATAAAGTGTCATCAGCAAATAAACTAATTTTGCCTTTATCTTTAGTACCAATACCTATTTTTTTCTCATAACATTCACTAATAGTTGCATAACAAAAGCAAACAATAGTTGTATAACTAAATCAAGCAGGGAAAGGGATATCCCTGTCTAGTGCCATGGCCTAGCGATCTGTTCTGTTATCCCATTATTTATTAATACTGCTGCAGTATTCTCTCAATGACCAACATTAAAAATGATAATTAAGGTATTAGGCTTTGGGGAACAATTTAAGGGAATAATAGATCAATTAAGTTGTGTTATCCTGATGAAAAACTTTCCAAGGTGCCCTTCCAGGGAGCTATCAGGCAAAAGAAAAATGTGGGTAAAGGCAACTTCTCTAAACTTTAGCCATTGTAATGTTGTAGTATCTCTTTAGTTTAAAATAGACCCCACTGATTTGGAGAAGTCAACTGTGTAACAAGTTGGCAGAGTTAATTTCCTTCCCTCACATTCCTTTCCATGGAGGACACTTACAGCAGTAACATAAAATAAAATTTCCCCAGGTTAAAAAAAAAATAGCAACACAGTTGTCCTCAAATTTTCCTCCCTGAGCAACACAAGGAGGCAAGATTCAGAATAGAGTGGTGGTGCCTCTGCCATTACTCCTGAATAGTGAACATCCCCTTCAATTGTCCTGCTAAGTAGTGTTCTAGGTAGATTTCAGATAGAAAGGGAGGGGTATCTTTTTAAGTGCAAGAACTGAGTTAAGACTAAAGCACCCAACTTCATATATCATTGACAGATATTTACAGTTCAGTCTTTATATGCCATCAGATATTACAGGCTTAAAAAAATCTGCCAATGGAATTGTATGTCCAACAACAACTAAATGACCACAGTGTGTCTTTAACTGATTGTTTTATGACATATATACAGTATAAAAGAGCACAGATTTAATGTCAGAGTCCATACTGCAATTAATGTGCTGCTGTCATTGGTAATGCTGATGTGGCAAAAAAATATCAACAAACAAACCAATGAAATAAAGCTGAGTTGACTTTTGAAATCTCATGATTCACTAGAAATCTTAGAAAAAAAACTGTATAAAGGGTTTGTTGGGAAATTCAAGGCAGGGTTACTTCTTGGAATGCCCTTCAGTGTAAGAACATGCCCTAACTGGGCTGACTGAAGACAAATCCATAAAGAAAAGCAAACAGAAACCTCCCTGTGTCATCTGATTCTGATCTAGTGTATAGTCAAATTATAGTGAGCTAGATAAAATGACAATACTCTAGAAATTATAGTTTCTATTCCTCTATGCTGCACCATTTGGCTCAGGCCATTTCTATTCTGCTGAAAAGTCTCATGTTTCTTTACTGTTCAAATCTTTTTTAACTATAATATTTCTTTAAACTATAATGAATGCCCAGACAACTTTACTAAGAGTTATAATTACTGTCTATTAATATGCCTACTGATGTTATATTGAAGTATCGTGAGATAAAGAAGGAAAGTGCAATTTCATTATAATACAGATAGGGCCTTAATGATCAATATTACTTTTGGAGTATTTAATGATAATGTGCAATAAACAACCTTGCTGTGTGCTACAATTAAGACATACATTACATTTGAGACATTCATTTAAGATCTTGAAGCAGGTGAAATAACATAAAAGAATCTAGTGGTTGAAGGGTGTCTGGGTTATAGCATATTTATTGTTCTCACACAAGGAATAAAGACAGTAATGGGTTTTAAAATAGGTACAACTTTATTAGGTACAATGACCTGCAAAGAGAAGTTTCACCAGTGTGGAAAGCATAAACTGAAGATAAAGGATGGGAAGTTCTGGGCCCACATTGCTATACAATGGAGTGCCATCTCTGTAAAGCCCCTCAAGGCAAAGCCGGTGCAAAGCATGAGCAACCCACAACTGGCCAGCCCTTAGATCCAAGGCCAGATTAAGACCTTCAGAGGCTCTAAGCTCTGAATATAACACTGTGCGGGTCTCACCGATTAGAAAAAACACACACCACATAATGTGCATGTTATATGCATGAAAATACAGTAATTTAATTGTATAGCGTGTGGCAAAAAAATATAACGTTTTGTATGCAAAATCACACGTCCAATCAAATTACCAGCTTCTAGCCAAATCTTGCGCTTTCACGCTTGGATTAATGGAGACAGATTTTGTCAGAATTTGTATACTGAAAAGCTTAAACAAGAGCAAACCTCTCTGGGGGTGTTTTTAATAGTGGCTGTTATTTCTTTGGCTTACAGATAGAATGCACAGGCCATAAGTCTAAAAGACCAACAGCTCTTTTTATGTATTCTCAAAGGCTTTCACGGCCGGGATCTAATGGTTGTTGTGAGTTTTTCAGGCTCTTTGGCCGTGTTCTGAAGGTTGTTCTTCCTAACATTTTGCCAGTCTCTGTGGCCGGCATCTTCAGAGGACAGGAGCAGCAGGTACTCCTGTCCTCTGAAGATGCCGGCCACAGAGACTGGCAAAATGTTAGGAAGAACAACCTTCAGAACACGGTCAAAGAGCCCAAAACCTCACAAACAGTTGTTTTTACCCTTATCCCCACCCAACCTCCCAAAATAAAGGTTAAAAAAGAATGATGACTTCACTCAAAACTTGAGTTTTCTCACTAGATGAGTCTGTACACTATTTAGTTTTTACTAGTTCATACTCAGTTGCTTTAGGTAGGGAGGTGGTCTTTAGTGGGGAGAAAGAAGGATTTGGATATATGTAGTATGTTAAGGAGGGTGTGTTTTTTTACACTATGGCCCATGGTAAATCCAGCGTTGAATAAAAAATTCTGTGATGCCTCCTTCCCTTGTTCATGCTCTCAGCCCATGCTTATTTTGCTTAATGGTTAGTCTGGGGCTGCTTAGGTCTGGTTCAGCCAACATGGCAAAGGGAGTTTGCTCAGGCCATACCCCTGTCTCCTGCAATGTGGGAAAGGGTTTGCTAAGCAAATCCTGCAAATAGAAAGCCCAAAGGTGCTTACCGAGTCCTTCACCATATGTCTGCCCCTGTCCCGGTGCTACCAGATGTGCCAAGAAGTTACAGTGAATTAACCAGAATAAGCTAATCAGTAAGAAACAGCTAAATCAGAATGGCAGTGGAAGAAAACCAACAGGAATTAGATGCAATCACCCAAGAGAAATGTAACTGGCAATGAGCTATATGCAAATCCACCAAACTAAAAATGAAAGCCACCTGATGTGTCACATGAGACTTTCTGCTCCCACTGGCAGCGTGAAGTAGACAAAAATGATCTACAGGAGGTGAACATCCAGAAAATTCCTGCTCAAGCAACTTAACAAGTCCATGCTTACACAAGAAAAGAGAAAGAGAGAGTGACACGAAGCAGTCTTGAGTCCCCACAAAACAGCTGAAGCAGAGCAGGGATCCTCAGGACAATTGGTACTTACTGGTTTACCTGTCTTGCTGCCAGAGGGGAAAAAAATTATCAAGGCCAACTGAGGAAGTGAAGGCCAGTTGCATTCATTCTCTCCTCATGGCAAAAAAATGCCTTTCCTACCAGGAGTAAGACAGGGTGAAGCAGCATCACTTGTAAAGTAGGCCTACTCATATTGATTAAATGTGAGAAAAGTTCCTAATATGCTTCAGACAACCACTAATTTACTACTATGTAAACAGTCACAGAACGTGCCTGACTGAAAATAACTGCAAGGTATCTTTTTGGTAGTCAGTAAAAAGATTGTTGGAATGAGTATGAGCAAGTGGAGAGATCAGGAAATGTTGCTGCCTCTTAGGGCTGTTTTTCATTTTCAAGGAGGGAAAGGAAGGAAAACCACATGGATTGCCATGTGGCATGCACTCGGGACTTTACATGTGCTTTCTGTAGGTTCCTATCTGCAGAATCTCTGTGAAAGTTGCACATTTGCATCCTGTCAATATTTTGATTACTGCAATAGCTAACTAATAGCCAACTTTTCATTAAAAAGTAATTTGACAAAACTTTTTTGCTGGGTGGGGGAGTTGAGTTGGACATGTAACACGAATTTGTAGCATTTCAAATATGACACAGTTGCTGCAAAATATGTCAACAGGCCTCCCAGCGACAGTTTTGTATCTCTAAGCTAAAGATAATAAGCATGGTAAATGACAGATAGCTCTATTTATTTGTGCTACTCCTGTTACAAGCCTAAGTAATTCTATATGCATTTTCACATCCTAAGTATCACAAACTTGTAAAAATACAAAAACATCCAACACTGAGATGATCTAGGCAACTTTGAATGTATGCCAAGATTCAAAAGGAAATCTGAAGTGCACTTTAATATGGAAGCCATAAGTGCATAGGCTAAGGTAGGGCAAATGTTTAACGAGTACCATATCTGCAATTTTACAGAGCAGCAGAAGCCCTCTTGAAGAGAGTGAATAAGTTGTTTGCAGAACCTAGACAGAAAACAGAGGAGCTCAAGAATGAAGTCAGAGACAAGCTGGCAGACTACCAAGATAAAGTTGATGATGCTCTAGACCTGCTGAGAGAAGCAACCAACAAAATTAGGGAAGCAGATAGACTATCTGCAATCAACCAGCAAAATATGACAGCAGTAGAGGTAAGCGTCTGATTATAAGTTCTCCTTCAGGTAATCATGGAAAGGAGTTGATACACCTTTTGTTCCTCTCTCAGAAATGTAAGGCTTTCCATATCCTGAAAAACAATGAAAAATGTACCAAAATGTTGACAGCTATATTTAAAAAACTTCCTAATTTGGACAACATAGGAAAAATGTAAGGCTTTCCATATCCTGAAAAACGATGAAAAATGTACCAAAATGTTGACAACATAGCACGCCAGTGTACTATTGGAGATCTGGCTTACTTTGTACAATAAGCCAGAGGTCTATTGCTTTCTCCTACCATGTTTTGTGACCCTGGTCATTAGTAGTAATCCTAGCTGGGGACTAGATTAAATCAGTGCACTTATTTTTATTATATTTCTGGGGAAAGCAGTTTGCTCTCACAAATTGTTAATGGTTCTTTTATGTATATTACACAAACGGAATGTAGCAAACCAATAGCCAAAGCCTATATATGGCCTCAGCCATTATTTTAGCTGTTTATACAGATATTTTGGTACAGACACACAAACAGCCAGCTAATCTTCAGTATTAGTATAACTGCATTTTCTCCTTCTTTCATGCTGTCCAGAAAAGTATTAAATGGGCATATGCAAATTTAGATTATAAATCAAACTACTATATATCTTTTGTAGTTAGTAGCTGGTGGAAATTATTTCCCTTTATTTAATTTTAATTGCAAAGTCAGTCTCAAATGAAGACAAATGTTTTAGTTTTTTGTTTGTGTCTCAGTCATTTGGTGCCCAAAGGCAGTTATTAGTCCTCCGATGCTAGTTTTCTTTAAATATTCAGAGGGTCTGCAGGGATATCTATCATTGTCCCTTTAAGGTCAAGCCAGGTTTTCAAGAAGGATGCAGATGTACTATAGTATATTGTGTGAGGCACTCATTTATTCTACTATTATTCTGATACCTTTATCCTCCACTAAAGCAAGGAAATAGTTTTTGCACTTTAGAGTTCTATGACACATCTATTAAAATTGAATGGAAATTCCCTGCAGATAGAGGAGCTTCTCTCTTTCATAAAATTACCCTTTCCATTTGGAGGATGACCACAATTTGCAAGGGCATGGAGCTAGTACACTCTATTTCCTCAAACATTTAGCCCACTGTCTCCACTAAAACCTAAGTAGGGTTACACACACACCAATTTCTGACTTCCAGGCTTCTGTGGTATCACAACACTCCATCCACGGCTAGGGAGGTTTAAGAGGTCCATTTTTACTACAAGTTTCCATCTGTTTTTATTTTCTCATGACTGTTTGTATGTATGTGTATTTGTGTTAAAATACTGAAGATTCTGTATATTAATTTAATTCCTCGATTCATCTCTCAACAAAATGGTTGTTGTTACATGCTGTCAAGTCAAAACTGAGTTTTCAAGATAAAATATTTAAGAGTGGCTTTACCGGTTCCACTTCTCCAGTCAGTTTCAATTGTAAAATTCAGTGCAACAAGGTAAGCTATTGAAAATAGCCTTTGTACTAGGTGCTAGGAAGAAGAACCAGAAATACATTTGCAGTAAAATACAGCTGTCTTGTCAAGCGACGTTCTTAAATCCTGGGTATTGAGGCAGTACCAAAATTTCTTACAAACACATTATCAAAATAAACTACACTAGAAATGGGATGCTTATTATTAAATGTAAAATGTTCAGATGTTAATCTGAAGCAATTTGAAAACAAATGAATTTTGAACTCTTTTTCTCTCATGACAAAATGTAACCTATAGAAAAAGAAGCAAGCTCTAGAAGATGGACAACAAGAAGCTGAAAACACTCTAAAAGAAGGAAATGACATCCTTAGTGAAGCAAATGACCTGGCAAATGAAATCAATTTAGCTGTTGAGGTAAATATTATCTATATAAAGAACTGGTACAGAGATTTTCATAAAATTGACAATGGAGTAGTCACTTTGAAATGATATTAATGGTTACACATAAATGTATTTTTAAATTTTAAGCATTCAGCTTTGTAATATTAGAAGAGGCCTAAAATATGTATATTCTGTGTAAAATCTGTAGTACAATAAAAGCAAAGCTTGGAAGTAATAAATTACTTGTAATATGCCTGTTACTTGTAACATATTTCTTGTTACTTACTCTCTGATGTAGTGAAGGCATAATGTTCTTCCTTTTTAAAAAGAAATGAACAGTTAGTAATATTTATTTTCCTTATTTATTTTAGGGTGAAAAATGCTTTGGGGGGGGTATTTTGAGAGGGTTTGTGTTTTAACTGTAGGCCAGTCTCTTAGTATTTTCAATTGATCCACAGAAAGAACCTGCCTCCCCCCGAAAAAAAAAATCTCTCAAGAAAATGAGTATTGGTACGAATAGGGAAAGATTTAAAAATATTCAAATGTTAAAGTCCCTTGGAATAGAGTTTAGTTAGTAACAATTCTCAGTGTCTGTGGTCCGATCCGCCTACTTCCACCTAAAGCGGATTGCTCGGCTGCAAGATTAAACCACAGCAATGCCCTCTACATGAGGCTGCCATTGGGTTTGCTCCAGAGACTGTCCCTACCTTGACACCGGGTCCTTCACCACATTGGTCCATTCATCAGTAGCCTCAAGATTAAACTACAGCAATGCCCTCTACATGGGGCTGCCATTGGGTTTGCTCCCGAGACTTCAGCAGGTCCAGAATGTGGTGTACAGGTGACAAGTTGGTATTTTTATGGACTAAGGGGCTAGAATATTTGAATTCAATTGTTTAGACACTCTTCTGTTTTCTGGCTCTCAGTATATAGATAATATCCGGGACAGAATAAGCCCACTCTCTGATGAGCTAAAGGATAAAATTGATGATTTGTCTCAAGACCTCAAAGAAAGGAAGCTTCCAGAACAAGTGCTAGAGGCAGAGTCCCGTGCTGCCCAACTGAATGGTTCATCGAAGATACTGGATGGGTATGTTAACCATGCATATGTGTTATTTCACAGCTCAAATTAATCACCTTGCAAAATTTCCTGGTGGATAAAAATAAATAAAACATTTTCTATTTAGTAGATAATAGTTCAAGGACTTGTGTTACGAATTTCTTCATGTTGCTGAAATCTTTCCCAAGTGAAGTCAGTCCTTTCCATAGTCCAGTGAATTCTCAGACCAGTTCATCTTTGGAATCAAGGCAGTGCATTTAGATTGACAAAGCATAGCTAACTTGTGGAGTTGTCCCTTGGTTTTTTATGTTATATATATTTTATATCCTAATAGAATACTTGATGAAGCCAAGAATCTCTCCTTCAATGCCACAGTAGCTTTTAAGGCCTACAGGAATATCAAGGACTATATTGATGAAGCTGATGGAATTTCCAAAGATGCTAAAGCTCGTGCAAATGATGCAATACAACTGGTAAGAGAAAGTATTATTTGCTTAAACAGGAAAACAAGCCACTATCTTTTCTACCATCTTCCAGCTAATGCCTAGAAATGGCATCATCTTATCTAACTGTCTGTAAACACATACTGTATTTGCCATGTTCCCCACAATGGAGTGTTTTTCAGTACAGTATGATGTCCCACTGCAAACAAATGTGCCTAAATAAAGTCACACAGATTGGTACACCATCCATTCAGTGTTTTTCTGGAGACACACCAACCCAATTTTTGTCCAGATCCACATTCAGGCTGTCCCATGAATGTGGAGAAGCACATACAGTAGCTTCAGAATTATTTATAGCAGAATTATTTGTGTACCACCAGCTCAGAGAACACAAGAAAAAGAGAAACAGGAAATAGCTATAACGAACTTTGGCATAAAT